AGGGTCAGATCGATAACGAGAAGCATAACCTGTTCAGCTGACCTCTGTACTTGTGTCCCTGGAAAATGAACAAAAATCCTACGAAGAACGGTACTCAGGGGTCCTCTTGGGTGAGCGGCCGTGAAGTGAGCAGTATTCCTCCCGAGTCAGCTATGTGGGGTACACCCGCCGGGCAGAGACCCACATGGGTCCCAGAAGCACCCCCCGCCTCATTACGAATACACACCAGACGAGGGTTACTGTGCTGAGGCTGCAGGCAGGAGGTGAGCCCCTTCAACTACCTCTTTTTCTTGATAAACGGAGAAAAAGTAAGATGAAAATGCAGCTAGCAAATGAACACCCTTCCACTTTCCACTTTCTCTCTCCTAACCACCTTCAGTCTCACTTACGAGTCTACACTACTCAAACGTGCACTGAGGGTTACCGGTCAGCTTCTAATGGACAAAGGAGCCAGTCTGAACTCTCATCCTGTCTCTCTGCAGTGTGGCATTCGAGACTCTCCTCCTGTGGCTGATGAGACACAACCTTCTACGGATTCTCCATTTTATCGGTTACTGACTCTTCTCTGTTTAAGTGACACCCTTCATTCTGTTAATGAAAGGCAATGACTTTCTTTTCTCTCCATACCTTTTCCCTCATCAATTTAATTACTTCCCTTGGTTTCTATTTGCTAAGTATATATGATCTGACAAACCTTCTCCCAAACTCATTCATGATTTTAAGATCCACAACCATTTCCAACTGCTTAAATATTCTGCCTTACCATATACATGAAACCACTTTTATCTCCTTCTCCTCCTCCACTTACCAAGTAAGAAACATACCTCTCTGGATTTCTTATTTATATTAAAGACCTCAGCATTTTCCTAGTCATACTTGCTGGAAACTAGGATAATTTTTGACACTCCTTCCTTCTTTCTAAAGTTCCAATATGTTTAGTTCCTAAATCCAGTAAACGATGCCTCTATAAGGTCTCTCCTATCCTCTTATATTCCTACTGCCATTATTATAATTCAGATTTTTACCATTTCCCACATAGATGACTCCAAAGGCCTTAATTGGTGACTTTTTCCTATAGTCTTCCTGTTGTAATCTACTCTTTTTAAAGTACATCCCTGGTCGTGGTTCCTTGGTGAAAAACTTTCAGTGAGTTCCTGATGGCTAACCAATGAAATTCAAACTTCTCAGAAAGCCACTCCAGGATTTAGACTTTATCTGTCTTTCCACTTTATTTGACACATATATAAACATATATCTATATATATCTATATCTATACATATAGATATACATATAAACACATATACACACCTATTATGTTNCTATTTTGTAATAGCCAGGACATGGAAGCAACCTAGATGTCCATCAGCAGACGAATGGATAAGAAAGTTGTGGTAGACACCAAAAGAGACACAGATGTATAGAACAGTCTTTTGGACTCTGTGAAAGAGGGTGAGGGTGGGATGATTTCAGAGAATTGCATTGAAACATGTATATTATCATATGTGAAATGAATCGCCAGTCCAGGTTTGATGCATGAGACAGGGTGCTCAGGGCTGGTGTGCTGGGATGACCCAGAGGGATGGGATGGGGAGGGAAGTGGGAGGGGTTTCAGGATGGGGAACACATGTACACCCGTGGCAGATCCATGTCAATGTATGGCAAAACCACTACAATATTGTAAAGTAATTAGCCTCCAATTAAAATAAATAAATTTATGTTAAAAAAAAGAAAACTGTGGTGCATATATACACTGGAATATTACTCAACCATTAAAAAGAAAACATTTGAATCCATTCTAATGAGGTGGACAAAACGAGCCTACTATTCAGAGTGAAGTAAGTCAGAAGGAAAAACACCAATACAGTATACTAAAACATATATATGGAATTTAGAAAGATGGTAACGATGACCCTATATATGAGAGAGCATAAGAGACACAGATGTACAGAACAGTCTTTTGGACTCTGTGGGAGAAGGCAAGGGATGAATGATTTGAGAGAATAGCATTGACACATATATCATATGTGAAACAGACACATGTACAGAACACATGTACATCCATGGCTGATTCATGTCAATGTATAGCAAAAACCACTACAATATTGTAAAGTAATTAGCCTCCAATTAAAATAAATAAATTTTTAAAATAAATAAATAAAAGCAGATAAAGAGAAAAAAAATATGCCTTAATATTTGAAAGTCCAAGTGAGGATTACTTGAAAAACTCTCTCAAGTGCCTAATGGGTGTCTAGCAAACAATCTTCCCTCAAACATGGGTCTCTTCTTTTTTTCTTCTTTCTTTTTCTTGGCCTCTTTTGTCAAACACGGTAAGGCTATGAACTGTCAGCTGGAAACCCCGAATTGGGAAGGAGGCTGTACTGCTGGGCCAATGGTGACTGTAAGGGAATCGACAATAATCTGATTCTCACTGAGTTTATGGCTTGAAATAAATACAGCAGTAGAGTAGTCTTATCAACTCATAATGTAATTTAAGACCAAAGTAAAAGAGACCTGAAATGGAGGACAGAAGATTCAGCACCACCCCCTCTTTCACTTTGAAAACTCCTTGTTTTCCTTCAAGATGCAACCCACAGGTCACCTCCTCTTTGAAGCTTTCCCAAATTCCTCTGGCCGTGTAACTCAGGCCCCTGTCATGGCATCATCTCCATCTCACATGACCACGCTCCCGCCTGTCACCTCCATCAGGAGGATCGTAGAAACTCCTGAGTAATGACATCATAGTGAGCTCTATATCCAGTACTGTGTTTGGCACATTGTTGTTGCTGGTCAGTGACTCAGTCATGTCCAGCTCTTTACAACCCCATGGACTGCAGCATGCCTGGTTTCCCTGTCCATCTCCTGGTGCTTGCTCAAACTTGTGTCCATTGAGTCGGTGATTCCATCCAACTGTCTCATCCTCTGTGGTTCCCTTCTTCTCCTGCCTTCAATCTTTCCCAGCATTAGGGTCTTTTCTCTGTTCTTGTAATTAACAGACCTTTTACCACACAACATTACACATGTACTCACAGGTCATCCTCCTCCAGTCTGGGGGCTCTTTAAAACAAGCTTGTTTTGATTAATCTTTTAGATAGTTTTTTATAAAATGCTTTTATTTACATCCACAGGATCTAGTATGGCACATAAAAAGCTTTCAACAAATGCTTATGAAATAAGTAAATCTCATTTCAGAATGCCTAAAATCAAGTTATCCTGGATGTTTTACCAAATGATTTAGGGTAGAAATGGTAGAAAGGCACAAGTGAGTCCTAAATACACAGCTGAAGTGAAATGAGAGGTGATTCCAGAGGGAGGGGGAGGAACAGAAGGGCCACTGCGGTTATGCGTCTCTCTTTACCGCTTTCCCAAACTGCTGAGCCACGGGAGAGAAACAGGACTAGTGGGAAGAAGCAATCAAACCAGCACAGAAGTGCAGGAAAAGAAGGAATGAGCAGAGAAAAAAGCCTAAACTGAAGCTGCAAAAAGGAAAGCGTCCAGAGTCACACATGACACACTCAGGGCTTGCTTGTGGCAACTCACTCTCATCACCATCACTGTTTCACCAACCACACGAGGACTACCATTTACTGATCACTGACCAATCAGGCAGCAGACACGATGCCAAGAACACCACACATGACATTTACTGCCCATGACAACCCCATCAGCAAGTTATTATTCACACTGAGAGACAGTGAAACAAACCTACAAGCGATTAGCTACACTGCTCATGGCTTCACAGCTCGGGGAGTCCCAGGGTCAGAATATGCACAAAGGTCAGGCTTTAAGACCCATTCTCTTTCTGTTCTACTATTCATGAGCCAGGGTTTACATAAGCTGGGGGACTGCCTTTGCCATTTTTGCATTATTTAGTTATCGCTGTAAACACGTATCTTATTTTCTCTAGTATTAAGTAAGGTATTTTTGAGGGTAGAGTCCATGTCTAATATTTTTTATTTCTTCCTAAACATCTCATATTGAGTTTTCTATATTTATTTTCTTACTATACCTATGTACTAGCAGAAATAAAAGGGAGGAATATATACGAATCTTTAGTTAGCATTAAGCCAAATACAAAAGTAAATGATTTAGCTCTTTTGACAACTGTATGTGCCAGAATAACTCATCAATAATAACAGGTCCCAAAACACAAGCCACAGCTATAAAATTAAGGTTAATTTGTACCTGATACAATAATAAAAGTGCTATTTAAAATATATTGCTCTTTTCTTCTATCTGGGCATATATATAATAATTACTAGGAGTAGACACACATTGTATCAAGTACATGAACAACTTACTTAAATGTGGAAGAAAAAATGCTGTAAGTAATAGCAAAGCTTTTTTTATTTCTCTTTTAGAAAGATATAAAAATGTGTGAGGGTGGACTTGTATCTTCTAAATAGGTTGAGTTCAAATGTCAATGTCCACACGTGAGACAAAAATCAATTAGAGACAAAATAATCCTTGAAAACACCTTAAATTCCCCTTAAAACCTAGTACAATACAGTACAGGCTCAATAAATTTATCTCAGTTTTTCCTCTACATGGAACAGATCATCGTTTCTTCTGCTACATGCTGCATGAAGTGTTTGGCTCATGCTAGGGGCCATACTGAATGAAAACACATTCATTTACACACTGCCCTCATAGTCAACACTGTGAGACATCAGTTCCTATAACAGGTATTTAGGAACTGATTACATCTGAGACAACAGCAGATTCACATTTCCCATCTGATGACTGCCAGACATATGTTCATTGTGAAAAGAGCACTAGAATTACCACTGTATTTCAATTATTGGTGTTTTGGTTTGGGATGTTTTGGTTTTGGATTGAACTCAAAGATTTGAATTTGAATAAATTACAGTCCCAGAATTGTGACCAGACTATTCGCGCTCTCTTATTTACTGTGCAACCACAGATGCCTAGAGTTGTAGAAACAAATAATTAAATACTACAGCATAACATCTAAGAAAATCAAGTAATTAACCTATCTTACCTTCATCTATTGATGCTTCACTACTGTATCCATCATACTCTGCAGAGAGAGGACTATATTTCTGTCTCGTTTCCCAAGTATAGCTCTTTTGTCTAGAATCTGCCAGTGGTAGTCTGGAATTGTGTGTTCTGGATAAGGCCTCATGGTATTTACCCAGCGCTTCATCTTCACTTTCAGAGGATGAACCATGCTCATCTTTGTCCATGTAGGAATTATCTATTTGAAATGACAAGGAGAGCAGATCAAAATTTAATGCTATAAAATAATGGCAAATTTGCTATAGTCATATATATGTTATACACTTATGTATGTGTCATATATATTCATATACACACAAATATATATAAACATATACATAAACACACACACACAATCTGAATTTTCAGCTTTAGAAAAATATTTTTTCATTTAAGAAGCCCAAGCTTTGGATTTTTATGTTTTACTAGAAAAAACTGACTTGCATATTTGAATTATATAAATAATGCTAGTCACAGGGATTTTCCAACCATGATACAGATAAACAGAATAATAGGGCTTGCCATCTCACACAATTTTTTTAAAGCATTAATAGCACACAAAGAAGTTTAAGTATTGCCAATACATATGGATCTGACTGAAATCATTCATGTTACAACAGACATTTTTGGTCATCATCTTAGCCAAAATTTGCATAGCTGACACTGCTTAGCGCTATAAGCAGAACGAAGAAACAGACAGACATACACTACTGATTGAAATATAAATGATACAACTTTTCTAGATAGCAATCTGGCAATACATATCAAAGTTTCCAATTTGTATACTCTTTGATTCATTTATAAGAATCAACCAATTCCATTTCTAAGAATTCAGCCTAAAAAAATAATTAACAGATGAGCAGTGATATGTATCTGAGACAATTTACTGAATTGTGTTTAACAGCAAAAGAAAACAAAAACGCAAGCTAAATGTCCAACACTGGGCCTTGGTTAAGTAAATCATGATACACCTGTGCAATGATACACTATGCAATCATTAAAAATGAGGAGGTGAACTTATAAGTACTCACAGGGAAAGAATGCCTACCATATAATGTTAAGAGGAATAAAGTAGAAGTTACAGTCTCATTTTAAAAAACAGATTAAAACACATACACAAATCTACATGTAATGTATACACACATCCATGCAGTATAAGTTTATAGACACATACAAAAATATCTGGAAGCATATATACCAAAGGCAGACTTCCTAGGAAAACTTTACTTACATGTACCCAAATTTCAAATTACATTTCCAGAAGGCAAACTGGTAAATTAACTAATTTTATATTCTTTTAAAAAGCACTAGTTATTATTAATATCATTTACTTAAAAGGTAAAGATATTGAAACTGCATCATGTTGAGATTCATTTAGACAAGATGTAACCTTCTCAGAATTCTAAAACAACTCTAGAAGAAGGAAGAGACCACAGCAGTCAGAAATTATTAGTTCAGTCTAGACATTTCTCTCATTATACTCAGCTAAAATCATCTGCACTACAGGAAACAAAGTTTAAAATTCTGGTGGGGAGACAAAGAAGGAGTATAAGATGTGGGATAGAAATTCAATATTTAGAGTTAGAAATATGGTAGCTTCAATGTCACTAGTCTAAGTCCCACTTTTTAAATCAGTAAAATAAAACTGTCAAAGGGGTAAGCCATAACCAATGTTATATTCTGCACTATCTAATACTTAGTCACCAGGCACATGCAGTTATTTAAATTAAGCAGAAATAATAAAATTTAAAATCTAGTTCTCCAGGGCTACTAGCCACATTCCAAGCGCTCAATAGCTATGTGTGGACAATGGTTACTGTAGGGAGCAATACAGATACGTAGAACTTTTCCATCACTGCAGAAAGTTCTATTAGACAGGACTGAGATGACGGCAGATCTAGTCTAGAACCTAGGCGTTCTGACTCCCAGGTTTTAGCACTGCGTGGATACTAAGGTAGCAGGAGAGCTCTGAGGAGGGTGGCAAGAAATTTACCTGCTATAAAATATTACCTAAAGGAGCCCTGCATTCAGAAACGGAGAAGGAAACCCTTCTTCCTCTTATTATATCTTAGAAGCTCTGTCAGAACCTAGGACTCAGGTATTAATACTAGCAAAATTACAGTTCAGCTATATGAAGGGACAATCCATATGGGTTGAATGATTTTCAAAATGGTTTTTAAATCATAATATGTTTCAGTTTGGAGGTGGTGGTTCAGTTGCTAAATCGTGTCTCACTCTTGCGACCCCACGGACTGTAGCCCACCAGGCTCCTCTGTCCACGGGATTTTCAGTCTAGTACTCATTAAAATCTGGAATACTTGAGAGATATGTATTCCTTTAGGTAGTAGCATGCTTCTTAATTAAAACAAATAAAAATTTTAAATTCTGCACTACTACCTGTGAAGTATTTACTAATAGCATCCATTCTGTTATTTTATGAATAAGATAATATGTAAACTATTTCACTTAATTTTATTTAACTTTTATTACTTCAGGTAATAAGGCTACCAAAATTAAATTAAGGCTACCAAAAAAAAAAAACCCCAAAACCACTGAATCTGACATTTCAAACAACTACTAGGAGAATAAACTTCAAAACAGATATATTTCCAAAAACTGACATTCCTTTTTAACTGGCTCATCCATCCTGGATCAGCCTCTATTATATCATTTAAAAATCATTCATACAACTGATAGATAGCAGATTCCTATTACACATGAAGTCACATAGCAGAACTGAAACAGTCTTCTGCATTTCTAGTGCCACTCAGTTTTTTGTTGTTTTATGAGAATGTAAATATACACAAAAATTCCATATGTATCTTTTATAAATAAAAGCCAGTGTACTTCTGGTCTTCTGATCAGATCAACAATAAATGAGAATGACTAAGGGATAATCATGGCTCAGACGGTAAAGAATCTGCCTGCAATGTGGGAGACCTGGGTTTGATCCCCGATTGGGAAGATCCCCTGGAGAAGGGAACAGATACCCACTCCAGTATTCTGGCCTGGAGAATCCCATGGACAGAGGGGCCTGACGGGGTACAGCTCATGGGGTCGCAGAGTTGGACATGACTGAGCCACTTTCACTTCACTTCAAGGGATAACCAGGAGTGGTAACTGGCAATATAAAGCAAAACCAAGTAACTGTCAGCTAATTGTTTTGAAAACTGTCACAAATATTGTGGATGAAAACTGTGACTGCTTAGTTGGAATCTTAATTGTACATACAGAACTCATGAATAAAAATAGATTGTTCATGTATATGCATTGGAAACACAGAAGTCACATAAAAATCTCAATGTATGGCTAAATGAAAAGACATTCTGAAGCATGTATTCAAGAGAATAAAAATCCACTGCTCTCAAGGAAAACATAAAACATTTGGTAGATTCTTACCAGGAAAGATGTGAAGAGCAACAGTGTATAAAGGGTTAAGGGTAGGTTACAAAAACACAAAATTTTAAAATTCAACTATAGCACACCAAATAAACTCCAATTAAAGGATGCACAGTACTTAAAAAAACCAGAGTTCTGGGTTGTACAATAAATGGGCATTAAGTAAAATGAAGGTCCTTAAAATTGTCCAAATAATGCAGGGACCAGGGGCAATACTTAAATCAGAGGAATACAAACAACACGCTTTTGAAAGGACTGTAAGAAAAAACTGCATGACTTTAAAAATGTCTCCCAGTAAGAGGACTCAAGAAAGCCTTAGAAATACAGCTGTACAGAGAACAATTAAAGAAGTTGGATGATGTTTTTCCTAATGTGAAAAAATTAAGAGAAAATTTTATCACTCAAGCTCACATTAGGAGACCTCACCTTTTTCTGGTATTATCTTAAAATATTTTTCATCTTTACTCTTTGCTGTTTCTTTTTTGGCAGAAATGGCTTCAATTTTCTTTGTTTTTATATCTCCTTTCCCTCTGTAGTCTTTTGTTGGATTTATTTGTTCTTTGATTTTTCCTTGACACTGCTCTGTAGAATTAGTTGATGCTGCTGGATATAAGTCTTCCTTCTTAATGGATTTCTGTATCATGTGTCTACTGCTTTCCAAAATATCTTTTGGAGAACACTCATTTCCTGAATAGTTATTCCCTTTGTATCCTTTACTTTTAATATGTGTTTCAGCTTTCTTTAAGTAATTTTCTTTCATTTCTTGATACCTTACCTCCTTTAAGTCATGTTTACCATCACTGGAAATTTCGAATCCATTTTTTTTACACTTGTCAGTACTTTCAAGTTCTTGCCAAGTAGATCCAGCACTTGCATTCTGTCTGCTAACTGATACCCTACCATCACTCACACGGCCTTTCAAGGAAGAATCATCTTTCAAAGAGCTATCTGTTTCTTGATACTGTGATGGCATCTGCTGCCTATTATTAATATGTTTAACTCCTCCTCCTTCATTCATTCCTTGGTCTTGCTTTTGTGAAACTGAAGTGTTATAGCTATTGCTTCGATTTGCTCGGTTCTCTGAATTGAATGGTGCTTTCTGACAATTAGTGTTTTTGGAGACTTCTGGTATTGTGGTGCTTTCTTGTTTAGAAGTATCTGCAGCTTCTGGGGCTGCAGAGCTTTCCTCTTCTGGGCGAAAGCCATTTATCATGCTCGTTACCTGTTCAGCAACCGAGTCGGTGAACGCATAGCTGACTTCCCCGACAGCAGCGGTCAAATCTTCCACGGCATTACTGATCGTGTCCACCAGAGAGGACACTGAAGGCAGATTCTGTTGAAAACTTTTGAAAAATGCCATTTTCTAATTCCTTGTTCCTTAAAGCTGCAATCATGGAATTTTCTCTTCTCAAAATATTAAGCACTCTGGAGTTTCAATTTAACATTTACTTAAATGGTGCTATTCATTAGCTCAATATCAGTATTTCACATTGTGGCTTTTAATCTTTCTGTAAACGCTTATGTAATGGAAGAAATATGTTGAAGTAAAAGACTCTTCAAAAAAAAAATCAAACCACTTGGTTTAAACGTAATGACATTTTTTTCCCCACTCCACAGCTGTCATAACAGCAGCAAGACAGTATTTTTCCCTCAAATACTATTCGGTTTTTATTCTATACCTGCAAGAAGAAGTATAGAAAGGATTTTTATTATGTACTTTTTTAGTTAACTTATTAATAGTCTATGTGTGGGAACTGCCCTATATTATTAACAAAGTACCAATACCATTTCAAAATAAAAAATGTCTTAAGGGTTTCCCCAATACATATACTTCCCCAAATATGTATTTGTTTATGTATCTAAACAATTTTGCAGAAGTTAGAATAGGGAAGAGCAGAGAGAGAACATCTGCCGAGTGGCTATTACATGTAAAGAATTGAGATTTACAAATTTTTTTCTTATTTGATCTTATAATAACTCTAGGAGGTAAATATTATTATTCTTATTTAATGAGAGTAAAGAAACAGCCTCAGAAAAATTAATAAGGTCCCCCACCCTTTCCAACAGATCCTCAAGGTCAAAACTCTACAAAAAGAGTAAGAGGATATTTAACTTTTCACTTTCATTCACTCAAATGAGCTCTTAGGTTTTCCTGAGGCCATGTAACAGATTGAATGCAGAAGCAGATATGAGAATCCAGTTGTTTCTTTCTTCTGTGCCAGTCATTAGAGAGATTTGCAATGTAAAACAATGTCACTCTTCTCATCAAACATATTTTTTGGTTTTAGAAAATATACAGTTTTAAAAATTAATACATTTTAGATTAACAAGTAATAGACTTATTGTTGGGTTTTTAAAAATAAATTGAAAAAATATTTTAAATTTTTCTTAGCTTTTAACTTTTAATTTGGTACATATCATGGAGCTATAACTCACATAAACAAAAACTTTTTGGGGTCCTCAATAATTTTTAAGAGTGTAAAGGGATAAGACCAAAGAAAACCTAGAAATGCCAAAACAGAGAACTACTGGAGGCTACTAAAAGAGGTTTCTTTACCAGTTTTTTCTACACAAATGATGGAAAAAAAAACAAGAAAACAGGACTGAAGTGAAATATGAGAAACATTAATCAAACCAAACCACATAAAATACTACAGTTTCCTTAATGCAAAATCTGCATGATGTAATTCAACAATAAGATTTTTATAAACAATGAGGCTATCACTTTTTAAGTTATCAGATATAAAAGAAAAGCATCTCTTCAACATTTGTACATGGACAAGAAATGTAAGGCTTCTCTTGTATTTTTCCTTAAAATTCTAAATTAATGTCTCACTTTTACAATTTTCAGCTTTTTTTTTGCTATTATTTACATAAGCCAGTCTTTGGAAATAGCAAATAAAGAACTCTATAATAACTTAAAAAAATAAAATTTTTTCATAAGAAAAAGAACAATATCACAGCCCTCATTTTTCCTATTAAGGAAATATATCTAAGAAATATATCTATGTGCCAAGGAGGAAAGAGGAACACTAAGGTTTCATAATCAGATTTTACACACTAAATTACTAGCGAAAACCACCTTCGCTAAACAACAAAATTATCCATCACTGAGAATTCAACAGCAGATTAAAAGGTGAATACTTTCAAAAGCTTTCTAGGGACATGGGAAAAAAGCTCTCTAGAAAACTATCTGAACAACGGATTTAAGCACAGAAAGTAATAAGATATGTCCTTCTTCTTAAAGTATATAAAAATGTCATTCTATGATGATATACAATTCATTTTTATGCAATATAGTAGCAATTCATGGGCAATAAAAAGATAGCTGAACATAATTTATGTTCAGATAATAGATCTTTCATCTTTCACAGAATAATATCTAAAAGTTAGTTTACTGTACGTCAGAATCAAGCTTTTTAATGTATATTGTATTTTTTAAATAAAATAATAAACAGTAGATAGACTAAACAAGAGAAGCAGCAATATGATACTTACAAATTTTATCTTGTGAATTCTTCCTTGCACTGTAGCCTGAACCAAGATCTGGAAACCCGCCAACATTTTCAAAACAGAACTTCTTATTAATATAGAGAAAAAGGAGCAGCATCAAGATAATAAACACCCCAACAGCAGACAAAAATCCAACTGCCTCTGGAGATACTGGAGGGAAAAAAAGTCACAGCTGTAAGCATTTATTCTACTTCAAGTTACAAAGAAGAAGGAAACCCCTATACATTGGGTTAGGACTGCTGCCTTATTTGAATTTTATTTTTAAATTTTCATAGTTCACAACAGTTCAGTTTGTGAGAAAAATAATCTGCACAGTTTAATGAGTTGTTCAATTTATTCAAAAGTACATTAAAATTTATTGAAGAGTATATTAACAGTTTCCCTGTAAGTTATGTGGGAACAATCTTAAAAGAAATGAGTCAAAAAAAAAAAAAAAGAAAAAGGAATCTATCAAAGAGGCAGTTACCATGCATTTAGTCCACTGACGAGTATTAAAAAATTTTTAAAACAAGATTTAGAAAAACTTATTTCCCAAGCACTTAAATTTATGAGAACGTATACTATTGCTGCTATCTAAAAGCTTCAGTGGTCTTTTTGTATTAAACAAACTCTGGACTTTTTAACTTGGCACTGAAAACTCCAGCCTCTTTTCAATACTACCCTCCAATCAGGTGATTCCATTTACCACATGCCTTTTTTTTTTTTGTCTGCCTCCTCCCCTTGCCAGGAGTGACCAAGTATCCTCTCTATACCAAATCCCACTCATTCACTCAACCAACACACACCCTGCAGCAGCAGCCCTACTCCGAGCATATCACATATGCATTTCCTATCTTCCTTGAACAGGCTGGTGAAGGCAGTAACAACGCGGTGCAACCAAGGTTATGTAACCCAGTGCTGAAGGATCAAGCAAGCTTTTCTGCAAGTTATGGCTCCTGTGATTGTACTGTAAGAATTAGCCAAAAAAGTGAAAGTGAACACCGCTCAGTCATGTCTGACTCTTTGAGACCCCATGGACTACACAGTCCATGGAATTCTTCAGGTCAGAATACTGGAGTGAGTAGCCTTTCCCTTCTCCAGGGGATCTTCCCCACCCAGGGATGAAACCCAGGTCTCCCGCATTGCAGGCAGATTCTTTACTGTCTGAGCTATCAGGGAAACCCAAGAATTAGCCAAGTGAACACTATTTCATGCAGAAGAAACAGCATGTGAAACCAAGAGACAGGAGATCACTGTGCATTCCAGAAACTCCATGAAACTCTGTTACGAACTACCAGGTTCCCAACAGAATACATGAAATCATCCAGGGAGATCTGGTAGAGTGAGCACAGACAAAACCTTCTCCAACTTCTCCAATCCTCTGCCATCTCTTTCTTTTCAACTTTCGCATCCTCTCTCTCTGTGGGACCAGTCATTTGGAATTAAACAGAACTACACTTCTGTAATCTCAGTGCTTGACTTCAGTATTAGTAGACAATGAATCCTAAGCCTCAAATACAACCTTACTCTCTCCTCCTCCACTGCTCAAGCACTGACTAAACTGTCATCTCCTCCAAAATTCCTTTTTTAATCTGAAGAACCACGACAATTAGCATCTAACTCATTTGTTAAAAATGAAGTCACCCACCAGTCAATTATGACCGCTTTACTCTCCTAGCTTTTTATCATTTGTGAATGCCAGGCACCCCAGGTGCAGAAGTGATATGATATCATGGTCTGGTCAAAGCTGGGTCAACAGTACCGCAGTAGAGGATGGAGCAGAGAATGATATTCCAAGGCAGGGGTGATAAGCGTGAGGGAGAAGGTGGCAGGAATGACAGAAGTGCTCTCTGAATAGCAGCCGGGTGCGCAGGAACAGATCCTGCTACCAGAACCAAGATGCTACGCTGAGACATTAGGCCTTTCTGTCTCACTCTCAGGCTGGAGAATAGTCAGGAAAGGGAACAGAGTTTAATAAAAGAATCTAAGGTATATGACATAAAACAGTGATCCATCAAGCCTGAAGGTTAAGGTAAAAAAAAAAAAAAAAACAGGTAAAAAAAAATTATCACCAGCACATCTAACAGCTAGGAAGATCACAGCAGGGCAGAATCTGGTACGAAGACACAAATCACTCAGTGTGACCAGGTTCAGAATTACACCGCAAACAGCACAGAGGGATAGGAGCTCCCTTTCCAGTGCAGGTCCAAAGCTCACTTGGGAATGCGATGCCCTAAGTGAACACACACCGTGAGCTGTAATAATAAGCAGCTTAAAACTGCCCACCCCGTAAGGCTGAGTCCCTTCACTGGTCACCTGAAACTATCACAACACTGCTAACTGGCTATGCCCCAGTACAAAATGCTTTTGGTGTTAAAAATAAATAAGTAAGTAAAATTTTAAAAAAATCTCCCACCTCTTAGAAGACTACATGAAGGAGGAAATATAACTCACCTCACTTACAAAAGCTAGTTATTGCTACTAAAAACAATATAGCATATATTACATGCTATTCACTCTTTCAAGTACTTTATATTTATTAACTCTTTTAATCTTCACAATTTTCCTCTCATTTACCCCCACTATAAACTGAGACATGGAGATATTATACCGTGTGCCCATCTAGTAAGTAGAAGAATCAGGATTCAAGCCCTTTCTGGCTCCAGAGTCTGTGTTTCTAACTACTGCTCATACTTCTCCTGTGTTCCTTCTCTTCCCTTCCTGCCTTTCCCTGCACCTTTCCTCAATCCTTATTTCTGTGTTCCTCTTTCATTTCCTTCCTCCCTTCCCACTTATAAATTTAAACTAGGGAGAAAGGTCATCTATGAACAAGTATAATACAGCAAGCACGACAAGAGAAGTACTGAATATCAAGTACTACTGGAACAAAGAAGGGATACTACCCGGCAAAGTTACAAATGCTTCAGAAAGGAGGTGACACTTGGGTAGGCTATGCAAGATTAATAGGAACTCTATTAAAGAGTCAAGGGCAGATGAAAGAGCATGATCAAAGCCCAGGAACAGTGTGCATGGCATTCCATCGGCACTAACGGGCAATAGTCACGGCTGTCTTATCTACCTTTGTCTCCTCTCTTAGCACAATGCCAGTTGACATTATACAAACATTTGCAAATGCATGAATGAATGTGTGTTCAGGAAAGAACAAAAGTATGCCAGAACAGTTACTGGAAATGAAAGCAAGGTTCAAACAGTCAAAGAATCCTGAACACCATCCAACAGACTTTGTACTTGTAGAACTATATTCCCTAAAACAATCAGAAAACATGGCAAACAGTAGGGAGTGGACGGTGGCAAAATATGAGGACGAAGTGGTGGCAGTGATGGCAGAGAAGAGGGGTGAATTTGTTCAGAGAAAATTGGTAACAATCTAGTCAATTAAAGGAGAGAATGAGGATAAAGAGAAGTAGAAGGTAATTCTAAAGTTTCTAGCTTGAGCGAATGCGTGAATGGTGCTGTGCTGTGCTTAATTGCTCAGTTGTGTCCAACTCTTTGCGACTCCACAGACTGTAGCCTGCCAGGCTCCGCTGTCCATGGGATTCTCCAGGCAAGAATACTGGAGTGGGTTGCCATGCCCTCCCCCAGGGGATCTTTCCAACCCAGGGATCGAACCCAGGTCTCCTGCATTGCAGGCAGATTCTTTCCCATCTGAGCCACTAGAGAAGCCCAAGGATACTGGAGTGGGTGTCCTTTCCCTTCTCCAGGGGATCTTCCTGACCCAGGAACTAAACCAGGGTCTCCTGCATTGTAGGTGGATTCTTTACCATCTGAGCTACCTGGGAAGCCTGGGTGAATGGCAACATCATTTTAAAAAAATGAAAAAATAAGAACGTAAAGGCATATGGTTTCGAGCATGGGAGCCAAGAAACCAGTGGGAGAAGAGAGGCAGGTAGCAAGTTTAGGTTTTGACATGTTGCGTGAGCATGTCTGCAGACTACTGCTGTGTGGATGTCCAGTATAGAGAGAAATATGATAGTGCTCTGATGAAGGTCAGGTTTGTTATGAAGAGCTGGGAGTTTCCCTTTGGCTCATCTGTTGCATGTGAAAGACATCACTGACTAAACATAAACCGCACTGGCAAATGACAGGCATTATGCGTGAACGGAAAATCTCTTACTTCACAAATTTTCAGATAAATACAAACCATTAATTTGGACAAAATAAAAACACAATCTTTCCTCACTAGAAAATGGTGAAAGGTGCCTTATACTTACAAGGCAAATATACTATATAACTCTCTTTTAATCCACTGCTTGGCTAAACACCCATTCTCTACATTCATGGAAAAACATTTTGTATTTAAAATTTTAAAACAGTAATATAATTGTAGAAATGAAATAACATTTTCTGACAGAAAATATTAAAAAACTTTATAGACTTTTACTTTTTCACCCTCATGTCAGGATTGAAATAATATTTAATTATTATTTGATAATCCCACTTGTCCATAAAACTGAGATGGAACAACACATTGAAATCACCCTGAGATATGAATATGATACACCATCAAAAAAGTTAAATAAAATTACACAAACTCAAACCTAATACAAAACATATTTTTTAGTATCTGATGGAATTTATTCCTAAATTCTTATACTATGAATCTGCTTAAAAAGTCACAGAAATATTTCTAAGATTATGATTAATTTATCTACAGATAAATCTACTCTCTCCAAACATTCTAGGTCATTTGCTACAGGCAAGTAAATGCTATTTTAAATGTATATTACCTCTTAACGGAGAACCTTCAAAGTCTCTAACAGCACACAGTTAATTAAAGTTAATAAGTTAATATTATACATTTAAAGAACTAAATTTGCTGAATCAAATTTAATTAAACAATAAAACCAAGACCAACCAACAACAAAATTAATAATATAGACATTTAAAGGGTGTTTAGTATTTGCTGCGGGCTGCTTTAGAAAATGCATTACAAGCATTATCAAACTAAATCCTCACTACAACCTAATTTTTCAGGTATGGGAACCGAGGCTCAGTAAGAATAAGTAGAATTTTCAAGATCTTAAAATTATTATTCAGTGAGATGAAATCTTGATATGAATAGAGGCACACTGATTCCTGCCCCCAAAATGTTAAACACTAATCCCTACTGCTTTCTATCTGCCAGGCACTATTATAATCTTTCATTTTAA